GGGGGGGGGGGGGAGGAGGTTTTGTCTGTAGTGCTGTGGGGGCTCTGCCTGTGGGAAGCCTTGACACCACAGCCACAGATGAGGTCTCTCAAGTCCTGTGAGTGGGGAGCTTTTCCTCATGCAACACTTCAGATCTCTGAGCCTATAGCTTGTGCAAAGGGCTGAAGGCATGGGACTTTACAGTGTGGTGCACAGGGGAAGGTCTTTTCTCCCACACAGCTCTTAAGAGTGTCCATACCTGCAGCCTCTATGTGTGAGACTGCAGGTGCTGACTTTGAAGTGCTGCATGTGGATGGTGTCCTCCCCTCTGGCACCCAGCTGGTGCCTGTATCCTGTGCATGGGGGCTCTGGACTGCTGAAGGGAGGTAGGAATTCTACTCCCCCTATGGCATGTCAAGCCACATGTGCAGTTCTACTTCTGGGGCTGAAGCGTCACTTATGCCATGGATGACTGGTGCCTCCCAAGTCTGGGCGGGCACCATATTGCTGATGGGGGGTGTCCCCCATGGTTGATCATCAACTGTGGGGTATCCCTCAGTGGCCAATTGCCAACTGGGGGGGAGGGGTCCTCCCAGCAGCTGATCGCTGAGCCAGTGGCGAAACTGGAAACGCACTTCCACTGACACTTCCAGTTTCATGGCTGGTGCTTCCAAGGGGTGCACAGCTGATCTCAGGGAGTGAGAGTGCACCAGCATGAACCCCCCTACACATTACCAATGACTTATGTTGCACTTCTCACCAGCCCCTTCAGCCCCATGCATGGGAACACAGAACAAACTTGCTGCACTTCATGTGGAAGTTGCAAGCACAGGGCTTTAAAGTGCCATGGGAAGGGGGAGTGGGGAATGTGGTCCTGCTTCCCCATCTGAAGCCCATTAAAGCCTATGCTTGCAACTCCTCAGTGTAGGGCAGCATTTAAATCTTAGGAGTTGGTTGGTAAGGGTTGGGGACTGGCCTTTCCTAGTCCCTCAGCTTCAGGGGGAGGTGTTTGTGTGCAGGAGACTGCAGCATGGGAAGGGGAGCTCCTTCCTGGAGGAGAGGGGGTGGGTGTGTGTGTGGGGGGTTTGTGGGTGAGTGTGGAACCCCCACCACATGGTGCATAGCCCCTACTGCTGGTGGCAGCAGCCAGTAGCAGGCTCTCACAGCACCCTGGCTGGGGCAGGCAGAGCCCCTGGTAGTGCATGGCTACAGCTGAGTGCCTGGGGCTGCACATGGGTCCCTCATGCAGTGCCGTGAGCCCCACGTGCTGGCATGGAGTCAGCCAGGTCTGACCTGAAGGCATCTGTCAGTAGGCTGAACCAGGCTGACTCTGTGCCGCCATGTGCAGCCCCCAGGATTTGCCGAGCCACATGCTGCTGGGGGCTCTGCCTGCTGTGGCCAGGAGCACCGCAAGGGCCTGCTTGTGTCAGGGGCTGTGCTGGGAGGGTGTATGGTGGTGAGGGCTATGCATAGGGAGGGGTATGGTGGCAGGGGCTGTACAGTGTGGGGCATGTGGCATCAGGTGCTGTGCATGGGAGGGTGGCAGGCTGTGCATCGAAGGGTGTGGTGGGGGGCTATGATGGGGGAATGTGGCAGGGGTGGAATCCCATACACTCCCATACCC